ACCAGTAATATTTCTTTAAGCAAAATGCCATTGGTATGAAGTATTTTGGCCCTGAGCAAATTCTCGAGGCCGCCAAGTTCACAGCCTCACTGGACGTTTTTATGAAGGGCTGCAGGCCTCATGCCCATGTAATTCCTACTGGATTTTCAAGGTTACACAGGAAGGAGAAAAGACGGTCTGTATGGAGTAGCTTTGCTTCCTCTCCATATAAACAACCTCCATGACCCCGGAGATGCTGGTGAAAGCGCTGGCCTCCTTCAGCTCAGCTGTCCCACTGGTCACGGTTCAGCAAAGCCCATGAAGACACTCAGGATGCACCAACTTCACCGGGAACCAGGGACCCAACTGGCTATGGAGAGCACACTATACTCCGAAGGAAAAACGGAGTTATCCTTCCAAAAGTTACTTGTCACTGTGCACTCCAGACTGTCATTCCTAACAGGACAGTCCTTCTCCCAGCATCATCGGCGTGCAGTGTGCAAGCAGGTGCCTTAAAGGAGGGGGCTGTATTCCTTACATGGGCAATGCTGGTGGACACCAGCCAAGCCAGCCCAGTTACACGAGGGGGCTAGGGCAGGTGACACTTCAGGTCCCTCGCTCTGAAAGGTAACCAGAGAAAGGAAACCCAAGTGCCAGTTTCAGGTGACCGTGCAGGTGACCCAACCTCTGGTCGACTCCTCTGTGAAGCTCAGTGCCCACACCCAGGCCCCTCGGCCTCTCAGGGCTGCTGAGAATCCAGCGTCAGGCACTTTTGTAAACCGCAACGTGCGGTGCAAACATAAGGGATTCTTATGCTGAGACAGTTCTGCTGACCCCATGGCCAAGCGAGCCCCCACCGTCCTGGGCCTCCAAGTCCCACCTCCAGGCAGCAAGGTCACATTTACACCAGCAGAGGCAGGCTCAGCCTAGGTACCCTCCACAGCAGGCAGACACTGACTGGCTCTGGTGTGACAGCTGTGTTGCGTTGTCTCTCCTCATGTGGCACAGAAATTCCAAGTATGTCCTCAGTGAGAGCAGAGGGAGGGGAAGGACAGACCTGCAGATGCCACCCTCCCCCATGCCCCTGTTCCCCCCACAATGTCCATGTGCACGTGAGCAAGCAGCCCCTCTGAGCTTGTGTCACCTCAACTGTAACCCTCACACGCCTGTCAAGTTGGAGGCTCATCCTGGCAGGAGCCTGGAGACACAGCCAGGCTGGCTCCGTCCAGCTCCTGAGTGCAGGCTCATAGGGGGGTTCAAGAAGCTGTGACAATGGGAGGGACAGGGGAGGGCATCACCCTCAGAAGAGAGAAGAGCTGGAACCCACCCCACCTCGTGAATGGCCTCCCTAGCAGGATGGGCTGGGTCCTGTCTAAGAACGGTGACCACGACGCGAGGAAGGTACCAAGGCTCCTCCTGTCTCGGGACAAGCTGACCACCCTCTTCTCCTTTGGTTCAGGCCACAAGGGCCTGCGCAAGCTCACGGCCAGTGCGCTGAGCATTGGGCAGCGGCAGGGAACAGGCACAGCTCAGATGGCTGTAGCCACTCCAGACGAAGGCCCGGAACCGAGAACGGTGGGAGCTGGGGCAGTGACAACAGCAGACAGCCCCACCGGCCGAGTGGGTGACGGGACTCTAACATCGCCTCCCCCGCTGGGGGGGCCATGAAGTGTCATCATTTGGGGTTACTTCAGCCAACTTGGCACAGGCTCAGGGCGCTTGTGCTGTGGGAAGTGACCCGCAGGCCTCCCCAGATGGACATTTCCAGGGGACAACACAGTGGTCCAAGTGGGGACAGAGGCTTCTCCATTCTCCACTGGATTCCAGAGGTTCCTCAGGGGGCGGGGGGGTAGTGGAGAAGGGGGGTCATGGGCAGGACAGCATAGTACTTTTCCACAAGCTCCCGTGACAGGAATAACGAAAACAATCACAAACAATCCCCAGGCCTTATCGGCCCACTCTGCTTAAACTTAGGTGCAGTGGTCAACATTCTGTGCGTTCAGAGCTGCCTGGCGCCTCTTCTCCATGATTTCCCGTGAGAACCAGAGAGGGAGTGAAGAAATATTTTTCCTAGCAGAGACCAGGATGTTCTCCAGGAAGAGTCGTCTCCATGCCTTGGGACCGGCCCCCGGAAAGACCACCAGGAGTCTTCAGGACACAAGCCCCCAAGCCCGGCACCTAACTCAGCGACAGCGGCTGAAAATCCTCCAAGTGCCTGGAACCCCAGACCTGCGGGAGATCTAAAGGCTGGCTGGCCGGCTCTGCGCGGAGGAGCTGCGACCCCTGCTGGCCAGTCTGGGCTCCCACACGGGGACCTGGGACACGGCTCCTTTCCAGGCCCCTCCTTCTCCTCTAACCCTCAACACCCCTGTGGCGGCGAAGCCAACACAAGTGCACTGGGCGCCACCAGGACCCTTGTCCCCAAGTTAGAAACCAAACAAACAAGTAGGCATCAAAAGACACTGGAGAAACACATACCAAAATGCTTGCTTCTTTTCTTTTGTTTTCCAAGTTTCTTTTTATCAACATGCGTGTCAATAACGAAAACAATCACACACTTTAAATAAAAACCATCACTACCAATCTTGGGCAGAAATTTTAACCTGTGCTAACAGTCACCATAAACCCACACTGTTTGATGGGCCATGTTTCCTTCCTGAGGAAGGAAAGCTGGGGTCCTATGACAAAATAAAAATCACCAAAGCGATCGCGTGAAGTTCATTTTAAAGAAACTGGAGTCTAGCCAGCAGGAAGGTGTGAGTAGAAATGGCCACAAAAATGGTATGCAGCTGAGGCTCTGCAGGAACGGGGGTGGGCTGTACCACCAAACGGAAGCTCAATTGTTGGGTTGCCTGAAAAGTCACAACGTATTTTTTCTGTGTTTTTTGTTGCAAAAATGCATCATGAATTTTTCAACAACCCAATAGCTCTAAGAAACTGGTCTCCATCTGGGATCTGGAAACCAAAAGAACAGCCACAACTGGGGCTCAGGCGGTGAGAATGGGGGAATAACAGGAGTCAGCCTGGGGAAACAGGTTTGCTGACAGCCTGCACTCACAAGACTCGGGGGGCTGCTGAAAGCAGCCAGGCTTCCTGATCCAGGAGCAAAGATGCCTGCGCCTAATGAGGCCCCAGACCTTGTGGGTTCTTGGTGAAAGAGAACACAGGGAAAGGGGGACCCGGAGCAAGTCAGGGTCCTGGGTGCCCACTGGCTGCCCCACACCCCTGGGGGTGGCAGCTGAGAGATGGCCCCAGGCACAGCTGAGCCCCTGCCTGCCCCGCCACGGCCACCTCCCAAAGCAGAGCTGCCAAACTGGATGGAGTCCTGGAGTGCTCACACCCTGAGGGACAGCACGGCTTCCAAGGTGCTGGCAGCACGGTGGTCCCAGGGAACCCGCTCCCAGGGCCCTGATGCCACACACACGTGCAGAAAACTGTCCTGAGAGGAGGCTCAGAACGGCCCGCCCTCCTCTCCTGCCTCCTTCTGCACAGCGGCACTTCCATATTCTCTGCGGGAGAGGCTGCCTGTCACCTTGCACCTTACTCACCAGGGCTCACTGCTCAGGGCGAAAGAGCCTCTGGGGCACTAAACGCAGGCGCAGAGTGAAGCCCTGATGTGAAAGTGAACAGATGTGCCAGCAAGCGACGCACCCTGGCCAAGTCGGGCGGCTTCCAACTCTTCCTTCTTAAAAGAACTGAAGAGCCCAAGAGAGCTAGTGTTTGATGGCAGAGCTTTAAAAAGAAACGGTAACACATGCCAAAAACACGTAACAGTCTCAGGGTTCAAGGCATTAAGCAACATCGCTACAAGAGAACTTCCGTGCTCGTTTACCTGTTTATGTGACTGAGATTACGCAGCACTCATAGCCAGAGGCAAGAAGCAGGAACAAAACAATCCCAAGCGGGGCCATTCAACCTGCAGGTAACATTCATCCACCAGCCAGAGAACTACGTGGTGTGCGCCTAATCAAACTTGACTTTCTGTTGAATAACGTGTCAAAATATACTATCTTATGCTGTTTTGATCAATTGCATACTAGGAATTACAAAGACAGCCCAATAGAGGGCCGGCCGAGTGGCGCGATGGTTAAGAACTGGCTTGGGACGCCAGAGGACCCCGGTTTGGATCCCAAATATGAGGGCCAGTGACACTGCCCTCCACAGCTAAGATGCTGAACAACAGCTCAACCTGGAGCTGGGATGCCATGAGTCGCCGGTGATGGCATAGGCTGCAGTCCCTGTGGCAGTGGGTTGCCATGGGCTACCGTGTGTAGCCAGCAGCCAGCGTGAGTGGCCAGCAGCCGCAGT